TTCTACCCCTAATGGGCTGCAGGAAGCAAAGGGTTGTATGTGACTGTTCCAGCCAAGAAGGCCAGACCAGTTCTTTGTAGCTTATGTTCTTCTGACTCACCCCTAAGTCCCATGGGCTGAGTAACTTTTCCAGCCTTGTGATTGTGGAAACTTGTTTCAGGAAGAGCGGATATGAAAAGGACATAAGGTGACCCCACCCCAGCTTCAAAGTGGCTCCCACTGGAGTCAATACCTTCCTTCGCTGTATCTGTTTGCAGTTTTTAAATCACCGTTTCACTGCCCAGCCCAGCAGCACATTCATTTCCCTGCCCTGTTTCACGGTTGGTAAACAGAATCCCCAAGGCAGAAGGAGGTCGTTCAGACAGTTCTCGCCGACAGTTCTCGCCGGGACCTTTTCCCCAAGCCTTGCTCACTTCCTTGCTAGGTAGGTACAGACAAACCCAGGGGTCCAGGATTTAGTGCTCGCAGTTGGATTGAGTTGGATTTACCCGCCCCTTGTGCTCACTTCTCAGCGTTTACGGCTTGGGGGGACCTCGCTTGGGCGGTTCGGTCTAGGGTGGCCGCCCACAATCACTCCTTTTTACGGCGCATCAGCCGCCACGTGCCCAATAAAAAGCGGGTGACTGCGACGCCAGCCCCAGCGGGTGGGGGAGACGGCACGCCTACGGGCTGGTCACGCGCCGCCGGCCCCGCGGAGAGCCGTCACCACGCCCGGTGCCGAGGAGGCTGGTGCCGCTCCTGCGGCCCAATCCGTGCCCTGCCAGCCAGGGCCGGGCGGGACGACGGAGCGGTTCCGGGGTTGGAAAGAGAATTTCCATCTAAGGCGAAAGCGCGGCGAGGAGGTGGAAGGCGTGCGACTGTCACTCGTCTCACTAGCCCTCCCTGCCCTGTCAGCCTCCCAGACGGCAGAGGTCACCGCAGTCGCCGCACCCCGGGCCCCAGAGGTGTTTAATCAACGGCTGGCCGCTGGCCTTCGGACACTGTTCTAAGGGCTGCTCTTGCCCTTTCCACCGGTCCCCTCTGTCGCCTCGTCTCCCCGCCACGACGTAGCCAACGGGGTAGCGGTACTGCAGCGTGGCCCAGCGCCCCTCCCCAAAGCCGCCAAGACAGACCCCCGAACTACTCCCCGAGGAGGCGTGCGTGTGGACAAAGACCCCAAACATTCCTCTGCTGGGCGGGAAGTGCTCTTCGGGCTCTCTCTATTGGCTCTTTCAATGACGGACGGGAGCAGTAACCAACCGAAGTCTGGATAGGACGCATGCGTACACAAAAGGTCAAGTTCCCGTGTGGGAAAAACCCGAGCGGGGCAAACCAATTTGGGCGGCGTCTCTCCAGGGCTTGGGGGACGAGGCGCGCATGCGCTGCTCCAAGTGCCTCCAACTCTTTGCTCACATCGGGGGGTAGTTAGAACCCAGGATCTTGGGTTCAGTTTTCCCAGATCCTTCGTCTCCGTCATCAATGCATCCGGACCGGGCGCTGCCTGGGAGATTTAGAAAATCGGGGGATTTCGGTTCCTGCCCTCGGGCAACAAGACCGTCCCTAACGGCCGAGGAGCCCTGGGCTTGGATCTTTGTGCAGGGCCAACGCGTGAGCGCTGATGTTTCACGTTATACTAAGCTCAGATCCATTTTCCCTAGATTGTTGCACAAAACTCCTCCAGATGAGTTGTGAAGCCGAGTGGAGTCCCAGGACACTGCGAGTCACCGTGCAGCAGCCTGGAACCTGGCTGCCCAGTTCCCCAGTCCCATGAGGACTCTGCCTCCCTGCTTGTGTCTAGTGGGGGTGATGGCACTTAAGATTTAAAAGGTTATATCTGGCTGTGTATGTCACACCCACCTCATGAATTCCTGTAGAACACATATCTTGCCATTTTCAAGTTTATATTCCCTTAGAGTACTCAGCACGAAACAGGCCCAGCAATGTAGCGAAGCCCTGAGCAACTGGCCCGGCTCAACATTCTGATTTATCAATTTAGTCCATTAATCTCTAAAGTTCTATGGTTTTAACAAAAATTGTGCATAGTAATATTTAAGAATCATGAATTTCCCCTGATGTATATAAAAAATGTTTATTTGCATGACTTGTACCCTTCTACCCCCAAGAGCCACCAAACAAAATTTCCGATACACACGCGCACACACACACACACACACACACACGCACATACAAACACACACATACAC